GGTGGGCGGGGAGCAGTGACCCCGGTGCCGAGAGCCCTTGGGCTGGCGCTGCCGTGCTGTGGAGAGGGTGTTTTATGTGCCACAAACCTCCTTGTCCTCCAAATGGAGGCTTTCCCATACCGAGCCTGCAGCGGTGGTGTGGGAGATAGCAAGTGAATAGTTCCAAGTTGGTTTGAGATTATTTCGTCGTTCCGTGTTGTTCTAGAAGTAGTCGCTGCTCCATTCATGCGTTTCAGTCTCAAAAGAATGGGGCATAGTGGAGGGGGTCTGGCTCTCACTTAAGTGAGTTTGCAAATATACGGAAGTTTGAGCCAACTTTGGAAGTGGTCTTACCTTCAGGCTGCTACTGCACAAAAATAAATGGGCAACCTAATGTTAGAAGCCTTTGTGTGATCTGCAGGAGTACGTGTGTACTGTCAGCTGGAACATCTGCAGTGACTGACTGGGTTTTTCCCCTGGCACAGGTTGTGAAGGAATCACAGGTGGATGAGAATAGATTGGTGACCGGGTCCGCTGAGTCCGCAGCACTCAGACTACGTGTTCCTCTGCAGCAGGTGCAGGCCCAGCAGTCACCATTTCTGATCATTTTCACATGGATTCTGATGGCAGTGACTCTTCAGACTCAGAGGTGAGCATCTACTCCTATCGAGAATGCCCATGAAATTCGGAACAACTGTGGCTTTAAGACTACTGTTGTAACTTCTTGATCTGAAGTCACTTGATGACTTTTCATTGTTTTCCAAGGCTTGGAATGCCATACCTGTGGCTCAGAACAGCTGTGTTAGGCTATATCCAGTGACTACAGGAGTTCATGCAACTTGAACGAGTCTAGTTTCCATTAAATCTGATAGGCTATTGCCTGAAATAGTCTTTTCGCTCTTAGAGCAGAAGAGTACAAATGGCAAAAGCATACTGTGGTTTTACTCTTGTTGAAAACAAACTTGATCATTTTGCTGATGTTCTGGCACCTGGCAAAGCTGTTTGAGCTTAAAACCTGACTCTTACCAATGACTTCCAGAAATGTAAGGGCAGGAGGAGGGCGTGAACACACACCCCCCAGCCCTGCAACTTTAGTCATGGGCAGGTCTGACCACACCAGGCTCTGATACATGCTCGGTAGAGCCAGCAGGATAATTTGTTTGTACTTGATGCATCCAAGATCTTGAGGAGTTTCTAATAGAGGCTGTGAATATCAGACACCTGTGGAATTCTATGGAGATTGCCAGTGCCCTTACAAAAAAGCTAATAGACCAAGAACTTCTGAAACAGAAGAAATTGCATTCACTGTTCAGATAGCAGTGTTCTTGGTGTAACTCGCAGTTGTGATTGTGTTAGCATGTTTAAACTTCCAGATAAAGGTTAATAGATGCAGCAACTGATGATCTGCTGTAACAGTAGTGGGCTCTCTTTCTAAAACAGTATTTCATTCTGCAGTCTGGTCTCCTGTTGGGCTTTCTGGACACTCTGGACCCAGAGATGTTTCTTAAATATGCTGATTCAGAGTCAATGTGCCTGGAAAAGCTGGAGGAAGAGATCTGTGGAGAAACAAATTCCATACCAGCCTCCCCCTCTCCCTCTTTGGGGTCCCCATCAGCTAAGCTGGAGGCCATTAATGAACTCATAAGGTTTGATCATGTGTACACCAAGCCCCTGATACTGGAGATTCCCGTTAAAATGGGCAACCAAACCAATATGCTTGTGAAAATTGAGGAGGTATCTCTCTCTCCATCTGAAGACAAAGCTATCCCCAAGATCCCAGTGTCTGTGAAAGAGGAACCGGTAGACAGCTTCATGCCTGAACTGGGCATCTCTCACTTGCTCTCCTCTCATCATAGCCTTGCAGCCTCAAGCTCTCTGTTGGATGCCTGTAGTGACTCTGGATATGAAGGATCCCTGTCACCCTTCAGTGACCTGTCCTCTCCATTTGACAGTGACCATGCTTGGGAGGATAGCTTTGCTAATGAACTCTTGCCCCAACTGATCAGTGTCTAACCCAGTAGTGTTAACTCCCCTTGGACAAACAGGATTAACAGAATGTGTCCCTGTGGGGTGGGGGGATGGAAATCCAGTGTATTCAGGGAAGTGTTGCTCATTTCTACCTGTGCTAATAAATGGAGTGATGGCTAATGCATTTCCCCTGGTATCAAAAAGCCCAGGGTGCCCTGTCCTCCTCCCTCATCACTGTTGGTTTATGAGGGAGGAAGGGTGGTTTCTCAAGAACTTACCAATTCTATATGAACCTGAAAAAGTTTGTTTTCCATTTAAAGTAATTTTAACCCCTAAAACTGCAGTGGGATATTCATGTATAGACAGCTGGGTTGAAACTAGCCTGTACGTCTTGCAGATTTACCATGTAAATACTTGTTTTACATTTGCTATGTAGAGTTGCTTTCTCCATTTAATATTTAACTATTGGTGCAATTAAAGCGCAGTGCAGCTCACTGACCCTTTTTTGCCTTGGATCTCAGTGGGGAGGGCACAGCACGTGGGCCTTGCAGGATTTGAAACTTCAGCAGATCAGGTCTCGATGTGTCGTCATTAAATCACCTTAATGCACCCATCCAGCAGCACTTGTGTGCTGTGCAGAAGTGCTGCTGGCAACTCCTTTCTGAGAGCACTTGATGCTGCAAACTCTCATCCAGACAGATGGGTTTGTATGATGGCTGGAGCTTCTAGAGCAGAACCTGCAGCCTGAATAGGGAATGCAGGTGGCACTAGCCTGGTGTCTGAATGAATTATTGCAATATCTTCCTGTTCACCAGTAAAGCCATTCAAAATGCTCAGTCTTAGTCAAGGTGGGTGCATTTCAAGTGGTGTCCAGTGTTGGTGAAGCTGCATGATGTACATGGGATGAAAAAAGGTGAAGACTGTGTTCCACAGGAATTCCTGAAGCATAAAATTAACTTTGCAGGAGCTAATTTCAAATGACACAATAGGACTTCACTGTTGTCCTCATCCATTTGTTCCAAGGTTACAGCATTAAACCAACCGGAACTGAAATTGGAACCACAAAGGAGGAACTGAAGCTTTATTCTGAAAGAGCTGTTGCAGGTGTTTGCTCAACTGCTCCTGGCTTCAGTGGTCATGTTGTGTGTCAGACTTTTGACAGAAAATAGCTTGAGGTGAGGGAGGGAAGAAAATGGGAGATGAGACAAGGGTACTGGTCACTAACCAAAGTGATAAGACTGCTTTTTATTACAAATGAATAACCTAGCTTGTAATAAAGCAATCTATCTGAGCACTGAACAGCAGTCAAAGTGACAGCTGTGCAGTACAGCAGAACTGAGATGAGGAAAGTTAAACTTCTAAAACTGAGAATAAGTTGCTGCTTGGAACAGAAGATGCTCAGTGGATGAGCGAAGTGTTACATAAAAAAATAAAATGTGAATTTGTTTTAATATTCAAGTATTTGTGTCATGACAGATTTAGAACAGCACTTCCTTTCTCCCACCCTGC